ACCAAGCCTCATGCTATCTGCTGCTGTTCACTTCGGTTGCAGAGGCAGCGACGGCAGCCGCAGTCTACAGGGCAGCTCAGCTGGTGCTCCTGTTGTCTGGGCGAAACTACTCCACCGCAGCGTGCTTGCCCTTCGACGACTCAGCAATCGAACGAACGCACGCGCCCTTTCAGCAGGCAGGCATTCCTACTACTTCTGTGTCCGACGCTTTCTCTCGCGTCGCTCTCTCGCTCTCTCGCTCTCTCTCTCCTCCCTCCCTCTCGCCCCGACCTGACGGTGCCGCGCATGTTTCGCCGCTCCTTTGCTCCTGCCTGAATTCCGCCGCAGAAACGTTTTTGACCAATCACATGCGTAGTCGCCGAGTCGGGGGGTGAAGGGCCCGGCGACCTCTCCAGTAAGTCACGACGGTCGCTAAGCCAAGCCGAACTAAAAAATATAGAAGTAGCAGCTATACCACCGGGATGCGGCGGTGCCACGTGATTTTGTGGTCGATAAACAGGGCATGTCACACGTCGTCGCGAGGATCAAGACTCCGCGGCACATTTGAGTACATGTCATCATGTATGTCTTCACATTATTATTGTTCTTGTTGTTGTTGTTGTTGTCTTCACATTAAAAACCGTTCCGATCTCTCTCTACCCAGTACCTTCGTATGTCCGTACTGATCCAACACTCGACGCGGTCGATTCCCGTGGTCACAGGTTAACTTACCCTGGAAAGGTACACTCAAATATACTGGCCCCGAGGGGTCCGCAAGTCAATAGAAATCAACGACAGATATTCTGGGATCCTCCACTCCCTCTTCGCGCTATGCGAGGTATCAACTGAGGCTAGCAGTCACTATCTATCATGGGCCGGAGAGAAAGGTGTATTATTATGCAGGGTCTTGAAGAACAGCGTTCTGCGTTCGGTCGTTGTACATATAAAATTCCGCCGCAGTAACGTCATTGACCAATTAGTCTAGTCGCCGACTACAACAACAAGTCGTCGCGCGTGGACAAGACCCCGCTGCACATTTACATACATATAGCAGGGTTTTGAAGAACAGCGTTCGTTGTGCACTCGGTCAACTGCTTTCGGAATGGTTGAGCCTCATCTCGCCTCCTTCCTCTCTCTCGGGCTCGGCAGTGCTTCTTCTGACGCGGAGGACAGGCGTAACACTGTAGTCGGTATGTATAGGTGTGTCGTACATTGGTTCGGCAAAGGGGTACTAAATATACAACAGCAGCAGCAGTTAGGAGTTCGCGGTGTTGCCATCAAATGAAACTATAACTATGCAGACACCAGCACCCCCGTCTCACGCACGCACGCGCACGACACGCGGTCTTCGTGCAGCATGCGAACTCTCACAACACAAGTACGCATCCTACGGCGTCGAATCAGCGCTCTCACATTTTTCGCCACATTATTTTCGTTGTGAACGGAGTCTGCGCCACATAGCCCAGCACGCATTCTTCAATCAGCGACGGAGGCCCACAGGGTCGACCCGCGGAGTACTGCCGTAAGTGATCATGGCCATTTCGCGTCGAGAAATGGTTCAGATTATCTGAGTGTCTGAACCTTTTCGCTGCGATAGTACAGTCTACTGGTCGTGCTGTCAAGTTACCCAGCGAGTGTACGTATCACCCTTGGTCGCGTTATGACGAACGGTCGGCTGTAGAATACCCTGTGTGTGTTGTATTACTGTAGCATTGGCCGCGCTGTGTGTGTTCGTCCCATCTATTCTGGCGCGGGTTCACAGACCTTTCGGCGTTGTACCTAACGTATTCAGCCGGGGTCACACACATTTAGAGGTGGTTGTCATGTGATATACAGTTAACGCCCTCACGTTTTCACGAAAAATAATAAGAAAATAGGGTTCAGAAACATAGCTCAATCTGGGTCACACAATAAGAAATGTCTCAATAAGAAACACAGCAGCGACCGCTGCCCTACTACATAAGAAACGAGGGGTTACGGGGGAGTGTGTCGAATAAGAAACAAACCCCACATCTCTCTCGCTCTTTCCCCCTCTCCCCCTACCCCCCCCCTCCCATAGTGCATTATTATTAGTTGTACGCCGAGGGGGGAGTGTTTTTTTTTGCGGCGCCGCCTCCGCCCCCCTGCGGGCTCTGCGCTCTGCTCTGCTGGCGCTAAAGCTCTGATTTTCGTTGTTGGCATGTCAGCGTGCGGGTGAGGCATCATGCGGTGTTCATGCATTTGTTTAGTTTCAGCCCTCACTCATGAAGGCGGTACAAGACGTTGTAGCGATAGCAAGACGTTGCCGTTGAATACATTTCGCTTCTAGGGAGTGGCCTTACGTGCAGCCGTCGGTAGTGACAATCGGGCTTGAGTACGGGAGGCGAGGAAAGCAGAGAAATAAGAAATTGCCGATTTAAGAAATTCAGCAGGATTTGGCTGCACGAAAAAATAAGAAACATGATATAAGAAAATGAACGATATACGCTGAGTTTATAGCCCACAACAAAAACATGATATAAGAAAATGAACGATATACGCTGAGTTTATAGCCCACAACAAGAATTCGAGGCTGGACCTGAAATAAGCGTTTCTTAATTGCGGGCGCTAGCTGTAGACTATATACTCACAGGATTGCGGTCGTGTCGTCATACATTTCGAACTAAGTATGGGAAAAAAAAAAATGTTACGGTAGCTCGATTATTTTTTTGTACATACACACGTGAAGTACGCTGGGCAAGGGCCGTTTTAAACGCAGTGCTATTTCGCTCCAAATTTCCAAATTTCCAAAGAAATTTTTTTTGGAAAGGTTGCAAAAATTTGGAACGAACCATTCCGATTTTTTCGGCCCCTACTTCTTTCCAAATTTCCAAATTTTCGCCGCGTTTAAAACGGCCCTAAGATCGACAACTAGCTCATATTTTCGACTTCGGCTGCATGACATACCTCCTGCGACCGCGCGAAGGAAACTTGAATGCCACACCACCGGGTAAAGTGAAACGCTGCTGCTGTAGACAAGTCTTAGCACATGCACCGGTAATGTTGAACATGCTTTATTTCGTGTGGTTTCGTTTGTTTCGAACAATAATGACTCTGTTCTCTCAATCTGCCATAATCAATCACAAGGTGCTCTACCTGTAGACTACATCTACGGAACATTGCTGCTGCATCGTGCAGTGACACGACCTCCAACAGAACGTTCTCTGTGCTCAAAATGACATGCGGCCTTGCGTCCACCCGTGACATGCATTCGTTGCTGCTGCCGAACTACAGAACACCGCATTTGACGTGTCGTGTCTCCTACTCTGGGGGGGGTGACATAAATCTTGTCTGCTTTGCTACCCACGCCGATTGTTGTGTACGTGGGTGAAGAAAACTCATAATAACGCATCTTTGCGACATCAGTTGCATGAGATACCCCCTGCTGCATGTCGAAGGGAATGCTTCAATGCGAGGCACCGGGCGAAGTGCAATGCTGCTGCTGTAGACATATCTTAGCGCATGCACCCTCACTCAGTGTTGAACATGTTTTGTTGCACGCTGATTCGGATTCACATTCTTTTCTCAATCTGCCATCATCATTCACAAGGCGTCTACTGCTGTAGACGACATCGTCCGGATACTGTTGAAGGTTGCTTCTGCTGTAGCGTGCAGTGATGTTCTCCAACAGGACGTTCTCCGCGCTCAACAATAAACACGCGACCTTGCGTCAACCTGTAGCAACAAAGTCTTCGTGAAAGGTGGTAGTCGACAGTTTGTTGGAGCTAACCAACCTCAATAGGTGCTGTTGTCTACGAGCCTCCGATAGAGGCCATAAGTTGTTCGAAAGCGTAGGTGACAACAACTCAGTCATACACGGAATTGGTGTCATGTTCGATCTCATCCACGCACGCATTCCCGCCTCACAAAATTGTCCACACCCGTCTTCCTTCCGCTTTACGTTTGATGGTGATCGGGCATCGACCTTTCACGAAAATTCCCCTCGGTTTCATTATGTTTTTTTACGCCATGGACGGACGGACGTGAGGACCTCACATCGTCTGAGACTTACACCGATATCATTATCGCCTCTACTTCCTCTGCCCATCAAACCGCTGCACCCATCCCACGCATGCTGTCCGCCAGCCCCACTGGGGGGCGGGGGACCAATCGTTCCCCATAGTATGCATACATATACGGAGTAGTCTATGTACCAGTCAGTGTTGTGAAAGACAGCATTCCGAAACTACCCGGCGAGCCGGGCAATACTAACCCTCAGAGAATTTTCGACTGTATTCCGACATCGCCAGCGACCGCGATAAACATAGAATATTCTATCATCTGTTACATCCTGGAACATTTTTCAGCCAACCCTGCTTCTCGCCATGGAAGTCCGATGGACTAGATGATATAATGGTATTCTTGGCTTGTTGATATGGGTTAGGGTTACGACGGCCCAAAACCTGGTTCAGTAAATGTGCGGGAAAAAAAGACCGAATCCACGTGCGTTTGTGGGTCAACAGCGTTCAGCTCCAGCCTCCGCACAACTTTCCATCCATTGTAGTCTGGATACTACATGCGCCTCGAGGGTGTTGGTCGACACCCTTCTACGGCCAACACGTGGCCAACGTGGCCAAACCACACCGAACAACCTCTTTTACTACAACCGGATTATTAATCCCTATCGTCTGGCTGCTGCGCTGCTTCTTGCGGTGAGCGATCCACGTACACCCACTACCGTAAAGGCCTTTCATCACCTGTGCAGTAGCGGAAAATAGGCATCCACGCGTCTTCATACCTCACGATGTCATCGCAACTTTCTACTTCAACAGTGGGCGACGAAATATAGCCTCCATCTTTCTATAGTCACATCGTACATCGGTGTGATGATGAGTTCAATACTGTTCCTCGCCCCGAAGGCGATTCTCCACCTCCACCAATATCCATTACCACTACTGCTTACGCTCGTCTGTCTGACGAATTGCTACTTGTGTTGTATGCAATCAACTGAACAGCTCAAGGGGTGGAAGCAACTCTCCGACGGAGACCTCGACGGGTGTTGCATGGGCGGTGGAATGAGCATGGCGCACAACCAGCCTGACAAGGTACGCAGTGGTTGAGCCTTTCGTGGGACGCTACCACCCGCGCCCGCGATTGCTTTCTGCTAGCGGTCGCACGAGCTTGTAGGTTCCACACAGTTACGAAGTCCACGGAGCGCCATAGACTATACTCTCAGAAAGAATACGAGCTGCAACTGTGGTGTGAGCGCCCAGTGTTCTAACCAAGACACAAACCGTTCCGTTCGGAGTATTCAACGGGAACAGCGGCTTGCCGGGGAATTCCTCCTCAACACTGAGCACCGTTGTATTTCCCGCGGTATCCAGAGAAGACCAACCTGCCCTCTGGTCACCCTGTAGCAGTCCCCACAGTTCCAGACCCAGGATACTCCGCCACACCATTCCATGGAATCGGTTCCTCGCTACGGTCCCTTGCACGAAGGCCGCGGAACAACTGACGCTCTCGCCTACACTCCAGACAACAGCGTCTTCTCAGGCTTTAGGCGTTCATTTGTGTTTGCAATCTCTCCTCAACTTCCAGCTCTCCCTCTCACGTGTGCTCAGCCCCATCCAAACACCCCTACGCACTACAACAGCGACAGACGTGTGCTGGTTATCCATCCCAGCCAACAAGTCAACTTGTGGCACGTAAATTCCCAAGCCGTTGGCGCCCCGTTCTTACCCAGCAGGTCACGATGGATAAAGTGCACGCCATGGTCAAGGGGAAACCCCTTGATGCCGGAGATATACAGGTGGGAAGCTAAGCAGCCTACCCGCATGGTTGCTGGTTCGTGTCGGTTCGTGTCGTTTGTCATGCCTGCGTACTTTTTTGTCCGTGGTCTTGCGTTCTCGTCCGTGCATTTCGCCCGCCGCACTTTTTGGCAGCCTTGTTTTGATTAGCACGACCGCAAGTCGAACATATCAATGTCGGAGACCTGTAACCGGGAGCCCAACGGGCCAGGAATGACTTGTCGAACTGTTTCCGCGTTATTTGTTTCACTGATGTTGCCGCGACGTCCCATCACGTCGTGGTATGTTCGTGCCTCTTCCAAACCCACGGCGCCCTTTAGGGTCCCTAAAGCACACAGCGGCTAGGAGAACAGTGCGGGGCATCCGTTCGATTGTTGGCTTGAGTGACAGAGCGAAGGCTACTGGCACCCCTGCCGCTCTTGGCGGTGTTCATCCCTCCGCGACAGGTCCTTGACCACCCACTCCCTCTCCCCCACCCCCGGATCTCAATCTCCTTTCTCCACTGCTTCCATCACCGCTCTCGATGGGGAATCTTCTCCGGCGGGCAAACTGCGCTGGCCACTTCATCGGTGCATCCTTTTTTCAACACATTCTCGACTGAACCGATCCCCGAAACACCAAGACTCTGGACCAAGCAAAGGAAGAGATCCGCGCGCTGCGGGAGCTGCTACACAAGACGGATGCTACCAGGTACGGGTTAAGGTAGGCCGCCGATGCCTCCACCTGGAGTTGGAATTTCTTGACGGAAGAAGAATAGGTCGTGGACTTTCCTGAGACATCAAGAAACACGGAGCCCTTCCCAACCACACCGTTCGCTAAGCCAATGAGCCTTTGGTCAAGGTGGCCGCCAGTGTCCAATGGAAGAGCGGTTCCGGTCGTCACGTAGGCTTGCCGACCTTACTGGAATGGCGGCCATGGCGCGTGGCGGTAGTTTCCGAGACCGGTGGTCGCGACCGTTTTACGATGCCGTTACATCTCGGCGCAATGAAGCACCGAAATGGTGGAGTACGGGAGAATTGGGGTACTGTAAGGATAGAGCAGGCGTGTCGAGGCATCAGAGCCACGTTCAACCGCCCGTCATGGATGGCGCAGGGCCTCGATGAAACCGCTTGTGAAACTCCTGCTGATTGTGTGATGAGCGCGTTACCCACCAGGCACCCTCAGCCCGCACCATTGATTCACGATCTCTGTACCGAGGTGCAAGCTAGACCCACCACAAGTGCAACCTGCGCTCTACCGCCCCCCTCCCCAACGTTGCGATTATCTACGGACCCCCCCCCCACCCTCTGGACGCGTTGCTACAGCGAACGTGGAGGCAACGATCCGGACCTACCTTCGGAAATTACAGAGAGATGTGAGCACACAGCGAACAAGAAAATTGAGTTGCGGCTTGCAAGTTCTCTGTACTTCACAAGAAAGTTATTGTTGGCGATGGGATGGCGAGAACTGTGTTGCGGTGGGCATAGTGATGACCATTATCCCGGCTGTGCTTGTGTTGGTGTTGGCTAACATGCATCGTGATGGCTACGGCAGGGAAATCGTTCAGCAGCAACAGCAACGCCAAGAGCAACAGCAACACCGATAATAACCACAACAATAACAACAATAACTACAACAATAACAACAACAACACCAACAACGACAATAGCGGGGCTGACATACTCTTCGACGCCAACGTCACCCTATCACGATACAGCACCAGGAGGAGACCAGCTGAGGGGACGGGGAGCGATCTGCGCGGCGGTCCAGAAGTCCGAGCCCTACAAGCACGTGGTGAGCCCAACAATCCCGGCATTTGAATCAGCACCGTTGTAAAATTGTGAAATTGCGAAACTGCGACAAGACACAGCACCGGGAAGCAGAAGGACGCAAACCGCCCAGCATGCGATGAGCGGCTAATGGCATGTTGGAAGAAACCGGTGCAATTTGTTTCTCGGCACGAGTGCTGCTCCTTGGTAGTATGTGTACTTTTTATTTTCCGGACCGAACACGCCGGCTTTGAGATGTCGCGTGCCGCCTTCTACATCGGCGGGTGGTGCATGCAGTACCCGTGGTAGACGATATGGCTGCTGCAGGAACGCTTTAAGGAGTGGGAACGTGTGGCACAAAACTTGTCAATGAGAAGCCGGGAGCCTCGTTCATGGTACGTCGAACAAGACCATCGCCTGAAATTAGAGAATTGCGGAAAGTGTGGGCGAGCAGGGGTCTCCAACGGGAAGTCTCTCTTTGACGTTATTTTCTAAAAAAAGAAGTTGGAATTACCATCCCGCGAGGGCATGTTAGCCGTACGACCATCTGTCCCTCCGGTGGCTATGCGAGAGGGGCGCTCGGGTTGACCAAACCGCAACGTACGTCTGAGGTTCGGACGCTCGTTGAATCCACCCCCCTCCAACTGCCGCACTCGTCCACGGTAGAACACATGCTGCAGTGCCGAAGGAGACCGACGGTCGTCGGCAAGTCGATAAATTACTTGTGTTCGCATGCCCCGGTCAAGCAATTTTCCCCTCAGTCGATCCCGCCCGCAATGCCACCTCTCTCTATTGTTCGTACCAACAAATGCTCCCGATCATACCTAAGCCGGAGACAACCGCCGCCCGCAATACCACCTCTATTGTTCGCACCAATAAATGATCCAGATCATACCTAAGCCGGAGGCAACCGCCGAACTGATCCTGGAGGCCATCAAACAGAGCGTGCTTTTCAAGAACTGCGGCACGGAGGACTTCGCCACGCTCGTGGAGGCGTTCGGGCCGGTCAGCTGCGAAGCGGGAACCCAAGTTATCACGCAGGTATGTATATCTCTCTCGCGTGCGCCTTGTCTTGGCGTTGGTCTGAACTTCCTTCGCTTGCATCGCGCACACTAGTGACGCGGGTATCGGCCGGAGGAGGACTTCGACAGCGCGGTCGTTTACGCCACAGGTAGCCGTATATGAGAGACCCCCGGTTGTGGGTCTTTACGACCCAGTGGGCTATAGCCGTTTCTCAGATGTCTGGCTTGTGCCTTTTGCTCGCAACTACTGCTAGTGCGGTCGCCGAGGCATGGCTAAGCCGCAGGTAGTCTTCTTCGAGAGATCCCAGGTTTTCGATCCTCACGACCCGTGGGCTAGAATCGTTTCTCGGATGTTGTTCTCGGCGCGGCTTTATCCCCCCCCCCCTTTTTTCTTGCACGTTAAGTCGGCCTTGCTCGGAACAATAACTAGTTTTGTGGTCAGTGGGCTCTCGAAAAGATAAAGTAGGGTAGACAGTGATGATTTCAAATTCTTCCCACTATTCCTCGCCTTCTTCCAATTTGCCGTGCGGTGCGGGACAGCAACGTATATACAAAAAAACGTAAGGGCTCCTCGGTGAGAAACAAAAACTTTTGCTGACCCCGAACGGCGAGTCTTGTGAAAAATCGCCCCCAAAAAACGTCGCATGCGACAACATTTCTACTGGAATTGATAATATTTTCCTGGGGTGGAGAATTGTTCACTTCTTGTGGCTCAACTTGGGTAGACGCCGTCGACCATGCTTCGTTGTCCAATGCTTCTGTGACAAACTCCCCCCACCAAGCCTTACACTGACAAGATCAAAGAGCGTGAGATTTCGCTGACACGCGCTTTCCTCTACCCTTCGACTTGTGCCAATGCACGATCGCGGTAGGATGGTGAGAAAAGAGCGAGAGGTGTTACGTCAACGAGGATATTTGGCTTCAAAATTGCCCCTCGCCAAAACTATTCCCAAAACTTCCTTTTTCCGGCAAGGGAAATAGTTCGTAGCACGGGTTGGTTTGTGTGTTTGAGCGACTATTGCGTACATGTCGTCGGGGATGCCCTTAGTTTTCCTCCTGTGTGCGCGATGAAAATCAACTACCCCGGCGGCCCCGCAGCATGAAAAGGGGGAGGACTTTTACGTGGTCGAGGAAGGGTCTCTCCGGTGCTACGTCACCTTCCCGGGAGAGAACGAGGAGGTAGAGGTCCGCACACCGTACGTAACGGGCGAGAGCTTCGGAGAGCTGGCCCTCATGTACAACATCCCCCGAGCGGCAACGTGAGTCAAACCGTCAGCGAGTGCGGCGAGTCTCGTCGGTCTCAACCAAGCCCTAGGCCGTACCAGCGCAGGCCCTTATCCGGAGCCAGCCCTTCTTTTAGCCACAACCTCTACCTCTGGCCCTGATCCTAACGGTTTTAGAACGAGAGAGAGGATAAAAGTGCAGTGACGCCATGCGCGACAAACCACGACGGACAAGGTAGGGGGTCTAGATTGAGGCGTAGGGTTAAATTTGCTGTTCCTAAGCTTATCGTGTAGCCCCTAGACCACCAGATCAAGATGGTACTGCATTGCCTACACTTTCTGCTCCTTCGCTCACTCTGTCGATCTTCAATCCTGTGGCTCGCTGCGCACCCCAAATTTCTCTCGTGCGCGACGAAACAGGCTGCGTGCTGCCGAGGACTGCAAGCTGTGGTCCATCAAGCGGAGCACTGTGCGCGCCATCCTGACCTCCATCAGGGAGAAGCTGGTCGCCGAAAAGATGGAGATGCTCGGAAACGTGATCATCGGCGAAGACCCTCTCAAGTCCAAGCTCTCGAAGAGTGAGTGGGGTTCCCCTTCTGTGAACACTGGGTCCGCTTTTTTGTAATTTTGTATGCCGTTGCTTGTTACTGGTTGCTGTAGCTCTTGCTGTCGTTTTTACTGGATTGGATGCGCTGATGACTCGGACTGTTTTCAGTGCTACATACTCAAGGTATTGTTCCCGTTGCTGTTGCCGACTTGTAACAGCCAGCCGGATTCCGGTCATCGTAGGTAGCCTTGTCGTTGTTTGCCTTGTCGGGCTTCATTCCTGAATCTCTCTTCCTACCAACATAGTACGCGGCAGGATACATCCCCCTTCAGCGTAGCCTGGTATATGCGTAGCTACCCAAACGAAGCACAGGACACCGCTGATGTCATGGCCACGTCGCTGCAAAAGCTCTCGAGCATGACCGATCGGCGGCGACGCGCGCAACATGGCATGCAAGAATTAAAGCTGCGGCGGAACGCTGCAAAGGATACGGGGCACCCCGCAGCAAGATGGCGAACGATCCAGTGGATGAAGCGCTGGCATCGTGAGACCCCTCCCGGTGCACACTAAGTTTTGCAGCGTCCGGAATGTGGGCATAGAACGGCGACGCATGCCTTCAGAAGCTCAGAACGTGGCTCTGGTGCGCTGTCCATGCTTCACTAGCAAGAAATTCCAAGCAACGAAGAACACCCAATTAAATGTGCTCGCGACAACAACCTCTCGCATGTGTATGGAACCGAACCAAACCGCAACGGACTAAAAAAATCGTAGGCGACATAGAGAAGCTGGTGGGCGCACTCGAAGAGGAAGAGTTCAACGACGGGGAATGCATCGTCAGGCAGGGCGAGATCGGGCACTTTTTCTACATCGTCAAGTCGGGGGAGATCGCAGTCCACAAGAGAGAGGAGGTGGGAGGGGGAGACGTGGAGGATTCATCGCCGGGTGCGGGGGATGGAGCAGGGGGGGAAGGGGGAGGTGGGCGAGACGGAATGGGCCCCCAGGTATCCACCCTCAAGTGAGTGGAGGCGTGTTCTTGTGGCGGTTTCGCTTCGTCCGTGTCAATAGCCGAGGCAGCCAGTGAATTCGGGGTACCTCTGGTTGGGGTTTGGTTGCCGTTGTTAGCTGTCGTCGTGTAGTCGTAGTTTGAGCGTGGTTTGTCGCCTTTTTCCGGGCTTGTCTCAACTACACATCGACGGCGAGACGCGAGAACGATGGGAGCGAGGGAGGCTTGCATTCACCAACCCCAGTTTTTCCACTCCATCTTCTACGTATTAAACATACGGTTACGAACATCTGATCATCAACGCCTGGAGCAATCGGCTCCGCAATCCCAACCTGGTTTCGTTCGTTGTTGCATAACTCATAAGTCTTCACCTCCCCCTCCAACCTCTCCCGCCCTCGTTGTTCATCTTCCGTCCTTCGCAACTGATATTATCCCCCGAAGATGGGCATCTCCACACAACCACACGTTGCACAACATAGCTGAAGATGCGTGCAACCTCCCATTGATTTTCTCGTGGTTCTTGCGCGCGGTCGTTCCGGCCCTGTCGTTGGCGCAATTTCGTTTTTTTGGCCTCTCGTCAAAAGAGCCGGGAGCTACTTCGGAGAGCGGGCCCTGCTGTCTGACGAGACCCGCAAGGCCACCTGCGTGGCGACCGGGCCTACCGTGTGCCTGTCTCTGGGTGAGCAGCGAAAACGTGGCGTTCCTACGGTGTATGCAGCTCGCGCCGTGCGTGCTGTGTAGGTGTGCAGAGCAGAGACCGTAACGGTCGGTACTATGGATGGAATCGTCGAGCGATCTACGCCGTCGTCCCACCTAAGTATCTGTGTCCATCAAGCATGGTAAGTTTTGTCGTGATTCTGCTGCGAAGAGGTGGAGCCTCAGTAGCTGAAGGTGGTAACGGGCCGTATTTGCTGCGTAGAGACTGGGGATGATTGCAAGTGACGGCGGGCGCGTTGTGGATGACCTCTCGCCAATAAATGCGGAGAGCTGCCATGAAAGAAACAACGATACCAAGCGCCTAAACAGAATGCTTCGAAGCGTCAACAGCCGCAGCAACAGTGGTAACAACAACAAAATCAACAACATCAACAACAACATCCCGTCTCAGGATTGACATTGCTCATGTTATCCAACACATCACTGCAATACCAAACAACAACACACTACAACGTCCTCAACACCTACATCAACAACGACGACGGCGGCGGCGATGATGGCATACCGTTTCAGGGCGAGAAGACTTTTCGAGTGTCTTGGGGCCATTGGAAGACATCATGTCCAAGGCCGCCGGACTCGAGGTCAGATGCGTGCGTACTGTAGTGCTCTTCCTCGCCTACTTTCTATCTTTGGAAATATATCCCATCATGGCAGCAGTCTTCTATTGATCCGAATTCAATACCACCTCTTCAGGGCTGCTATGCAGTTCGTGGCGAATCTCGACGATATCGTAGTCCTCTTCACCCCACCTCCCGGATCAACCGACCCTACCCCACTACAGTACCGTTCCGTTGTCAGCTACGAGTCTACAAGCTACTACATACCTGGCCTCCACCCACTCGTTGACGCTTTCTGTTGTTGTTCAATCCGGCGACGTATGCAGAGACCTGCCGCCTCCGCGCCCTCCGCCGGGAGCGGTGACCACTATTTGGAGACCAAGCCCGAAGACCTGGAAGCTATCCGTAGCTTGGGTAAGCGAGCGACACCAGCAAATCGTTTCTGTCTGTCTTTTTGTCGTCTGTCTGTCTATCTGTCTGTCTGTCTTTTGCTCCAATTAGCTTCGACCGCGGTAACCGGCGAACAAATGAAACGGCGTCCGTGACGGCGGGAAAAAACAACGTCCCTGGAAGCATACCAAATTCCGAAAATAGCGCCACGCGTTTCTCTGTATATAAAAGCTGGTCTCCCTGTAAATACTTGACGAAAAGACAGACACACACCACAGCTTTGCACATGCCTTCGCCTTGGAAGCCACTAGGGGGGCATTTCAAGCCCAGTCAAACTGTGTGTGTGTTGGGCTTCTGTCGTCGATCGGTTTTGCCCGCGCCAGCTTGTGAGCAGAGCAGTGGACCACCCTTGCCGGAACAACAACCGAATCGCATCCGTTCCGGTGTGCTTGCTTATTCTCTTTGGGCCGACTGCGCCACATGTAGGCAGGTAGCTCAATGACAAAGATTTCAGTCGTCGCGGGACTCAGACGCACAGAAACGTTATGGTGGTTATCTTTAAATCCCTTGGACGGGGGCGCGTGCGAGCGCGTGTGCTGCTATTCCCGGCGTCAAGCGCCTGGGTATAATTGTTTCAATGTTTCGGCTATGATCGAAGTGCCTGTGCCCGCACCTAGCTCGCCACCTCATGGGGCTGCAACACCCTACCGCCCATACCCTCTGAACCGAATTTTATCGCTCTCACCGTGACGCTTGTCCAGAGAACTCCATCACCCACACCCCGCTTCACTCGGGATGGCTGACCAATGCATTTACTCTCATGTTGCCACCCTTCAGTTCAAAACCGCCTCCTCCAGCTCTCGGCTTGGTATCGCCAGAATCCTCCCGTTGTCTCCGCCCTCATGGTGCCGCTCTTACCCCGATGCTGAGAAAATGTGTCGGCTAACTCTCTCCTTGTACTGCCCCACCTAAGTCTACGAATAAACGCTACCCCCTGCTCTGATATCGTTTTTCCATAACTGACGAAATGCCCTTCTCGATATCGCCGAGGCCAGGGGAAGGGGCATTCGGCAACGTGATGCTTGTGCTTCACAAGCCCACCGGGAGGGCCTTCGCACTCAAGTGTCAGGGGAAGCAGGCTATCGTCGCAAACGAGCTGCAGGTGATAGCACTACGTAAAATTATGATGAATTGTGAGGGTACTCTATACCTGGCAATACGTTCGGCATATCTTATCCCCACCGGTGGGATAGCCAGGTGCAAGGGCAATGAAAGGATCGTGGCCAAGCAAGAAGCCTTGCGTCGTTGTTGTTGCTGTTGTTTAATTCGCTTGTTCTTGTCATGCCAGGGACAAGCTCGGGACAAGGTCGTCTCTGTCCGTCTGTCCGTCTGTCCGTCTATCTGTCTGTCTTCCTGTCTCCCTCTCTCTCAGTCGGGTATTGTTTTCGTGTTGTGAGTCAGCAAGCCAGAAACCAAGTTGGGGTTTTCCTGTCGTACAAGTAGAGCCTAAAAGATAGAGCAAATATTGTTTCGGGAAGGGGCGTCTATAAATGGGACCACGGGCCCAGCGAATGAGACCGACGACTGAACGACAACATTCAAAACCAAACATCACAACTCGGTCAAAAGTACACACCCATCCCGAAGTTGTTTGTGCCGAGCGCACCTTGCGCGTTGTGGTGCGGATCTATTGCCCGTCCATCATTTTTCGCACCTATAGGTTACGCTGGCGAGCGGTCGCGCCAACAGACGGGACGCAAGTTCCCAAGCAATGGTGCATCCACCCACCCAGTGTTGTAGCATGCTGCCGCTCCCCCTGCATTGCAATAGGATCACATCCTGGAAGAAAGGAGGCTACTCATGAAGCTGGACCATCCGTTCATACTTAAGCTGCATGATTCTTTCCAGGACGACAGGTAGGGATGACACGCCAATTGCGAACTCTTTATTGATATTGCCTCCATCATAATGTCGAGTCATGATTATGTGTTCCTGGTTTTTCTGTTTTTTTGGACGACGTTGCTTTGATTACGGTTCTCTTGACAAACACGTCGTTCTGTGGCCGAACTTCACATGAACAACATGCGTAGCAACACCAAAGATTCACAGCCGCAAGAGTGATCGTAATGTCTCCGTGATTACTACCGATTCTCTTCCTTTCTTTCTGATCCCGGTGAAATTATCGTGACAGCTGCAGAAACGTTGTACTTGATTCTTTCGGTGTGCTGCCTTGATAACCGACGTCCCAATGAATCATGAAGACGTCGTACTGCATTACCAAAGGGGTAGAAACTTAATATCAGGTACCTCACCACCAAGCCAAATGCTCTGACGTAAACATTCATTCTCAGAGCCACCAGAAGAATGCTCGCCTCGGATTCTACCCACGTCGGGAAGAAGTGGTATCAGAATGGAGCTCGAGCTCGAAAATCTATAGCAGTCGTAGCGTGAACCCAAACGTACACTGCTCCCTGACAAAAAAGTGTTTGGAAGAATGTTTTCCATGATGAAGAAAGCGTGGTGTTCCCTGTGCAAAAACAACAGTGCACTTTAGGCCATTCTATTCAAACCGGATGATTGTAACAACGTGGATAAATAAAAAAATTCATTGTCCCAGGTATATCTACTTCGTGCTGGAGGCCCTGATGGGAGGAGAGATCTTCACGCATCTCCGTAGAGCCGGGGTTTTCGAAGAGGCTCACACCAAGTTCTACTCGGCCACAGTTTTGTGCGCTCTCCAGCACATGCACGACCGGTGCATCGCCTACCGCGATCTCAAGCCCGAGAACTTGGTTCTCGATGATCAGGTACTTCAGCAGCTGCGGCTGCGGTTGTCGTCGTTGGTGTCGCCGTCGCTGTATGTGTCGCCATACCTTGTTGTTAAAATTGCGCCCATCTCCCAAGCCGTAACGTACCGAGTACCACACACTTTCTTCCGATCCAGCTGGCTGGCCGAAAAATCAAGATGAGTTCCGCTGTTTTGGTTGTCTTCGCGGAACGTTGTCCATACAATTACGAGTGCAGGCGTGCGAGCAATGCGCCAGCAGCTGCAGTGTCTGACATGCGGCTATTACCCTGTCCGAGCAACAGTTTCCGGCGTTGTAAGTCCGGGAATCATGCCATTGTGCCACTCACCCCTCCATTCTCCCACTCTACCTCATCCCCCCTTCCTTGAACATTTTTGTGAAGGGGTACCTGAAAATTGTGGATCTAGGACTGGCCAAGGTTATTCCAGATGGGTACACGTGGACAATCTGTGGTACCCCTGACTACTTGGCCCCAGAGATTATCCTCAACGAAGGGCACGACCAGGCGGTCGACTTCTGGGCGCTGGTGAGAAATATGTACGTTTAACGTACATAGGATTGATTGGTTCGACAAACGTGATCCTTCCTGCATGTGGATGCGTGTGAGACAGAGAACAGTATGGAGGATGACGTCAAAATGAACTAAAGGCGAGTACAGGCAGAGGCAACCTTGTTGCGCAAACGGCAGTTGGCTTGATGGTCTCCTATGTGGGTGGAGTTACTTCGCAAGTTTTCGTCACTCCAGCTTTCATCAAGTTGTTGAAGGAAACATGTCTTCCAGGCCAAGAAATTTGACGGCAATAATCGATTTCTTCACTACCAGAGCGTTAGGATGTTGGGTGTGAACTTGTCAATTCAACGACTGGGGGAACCACCAATCATGCCAAAGGGGTTCTGGACCCTAGCTTGAAGAGAAATGGGGAGAAAACGGTCACCTTGTGAGTGTTTTTTCGCTACCGGGGTACAAAGCACCTTGTTAGAATGAAAACGGGCAGAGTGCCAACATCGAAGAACAGAAGCTGCAACGATCCGCGGGAGATAGAGTGCCAGACAGATCATTACTTTGTCTAAGATGACTTCAGCGATGGACTATTCCGCCCCCGGGGGGAGACGGAAGGGCAGGTGGAGCGTACCTTGATTGCGAGGAAAAACATTTCTGGCGTCATGCACGAACGTTTGACGATCGAGAACGATTGCAATGTTTTCGTGCATCGATTCACTCTTATTGCAGACCTACAGAACTGCACCTGCTGCATTCTAGAAGTGCGCTTAGCCACAACATGGGGGAAAGGGGGGTGGGTGGTGCAACCATACCATCCCTCTCGAACGGCCAAGGCCGTGGTCGTTGTGCGAAATAATAAGCTCCGGCGATATCGTCTGAGGTCTGGTGTTGAAACCGCTCTGAAAATGTCGACATTTGAGCGAGTGAATTTTCTTCAAATGAATCGGCATTTCAGCTGTGTCGTCGGGCGCCATACTCTCTCCTTCCTACCTTTCTCGAGTCTGTCTGATCATCCGCTTCTCTCTCTCTGTCACGTTCGCTCTCTCTCCGTCAATCAATCTTGCTTTAGTCTTCTCACGTCTTCCTATAGTTTTCTCTTTCGTCTGTCTCACTATGTTGACAATGTTGTGATTTCACTCTATTAAATAGTGCTGTCTACATAGACACCTCTTTGGCGCGTTGGTGTGATTTACCACCAATATCGTAACGCAATCTCCGTACTTTCGCGCGTTTTGTCGCTCTGTCCTTGGCCTCTCGCTGTTGATCCTCTCGAACACCTTCCCTGCCACCATGCCTGTACAGGGGGTGCTGGTCTACGAGATGATGGTCGGAGTAGCCCCCTTCTCGGCCAGCGACCCCATGACTACGTACGAGAACATCCTGTCTCGCAAGGTGGAACCACCGTCAACATTTTCCAAGGTAAATGCGGTACCTGTGTGATATCTTCTCCGTTCTCGTTCGACGACCATGTACGAATGTCCTGCTCCCCACTTTGACTTAGGGACACGGCACCGAACCAAGACGACAGCTTGTTTGAAACCCGAGCACGCTTTGCATGATGGTTTGCTTGAAGTGTTACGCTTTCAGTGAGCGACGTGTGCCTGGCGCGTTCTGTACATGCATGCCACAAACATGTGATACCTCAAAGATGTTCATATATTTTTTCTCCCAGACGCCGGTTCACTCCTCGCAGAGGTGATTTGTCACAAACTCTGCTGAACAATATTACTCTTTCAACGGGGTGTTCATTCCTTCTGCTCACTACACCTATCAGAAGATAAGGAACTCCTTTGTGGCTTTCTTCCTGTGTGATCCCTTCTTGCTGTGTGACCCCAGCTGATACGTCAAACATTGACACAGAGAGGGGTATAAGATTGGAAAAAAGAGATAAACACATCACACACATTCAAAAGCATTTGGGGTTTTCGATGGCGCCGAGACGACGTAGCGTCTTTTTAGTAGTCACCGGTTACCGCGTTCGATTATTGGAAATACACACGCACGACGGCGAGGCAACCGTACCTTCCACCGTCCGATATTGCACTTGCCTGGCAGGTACCAGATTTCCCAGGCAGACAGATGTTAGCTCGTCTGTAACCCTCCTAGTGGAAGCCGAAATGGCGACGCTTTGGCGATACAGAACTCAAATGCCTGTTTACCGCACCGTGGTCGTCACTATGCTCCGCTGCGTGAAACGTGCGTAGGAACCCTTCGTCTAGCATGCTTGTGTAAGGTGGTACGCTGTGTGATATACTGCTGTGTGATGCCTGTGTGCCTCTCCTGGGCCTTGCCTCTCCGGGGTCTTGCCTCTCCTGGGCCTCCGACTTGCTGTACACATTCTCTTTAGACGCGGGTCCCTTTGTTGGTAAAACTCTACATAGCCTACAGTAGTACTGGATCGTTTCGGTGGTCACGAAGAAATCATAGACTCCGAGGACTCAGGACCTACCATTGATCTTGTGCCTTTGTTTCGTTCGACGATCGAAACAAGTTATCCTGAAGAGAGAATGTGACAGAATTAATATGCAATCCTTATCCGCTCCGGCCAGCACAACTAGTGGTCCCACCGTGAACATATAACCAACGCCTCTGTGTGAGGCAGTGTCTGAAGTAGTCTAGCGGATATCGCCGAACTTTGTGCTGACGGCTGAATGTAACCTGGTATATTCGAGTCTTGATGAGGATTTTACCGCGGAATTGAATGTGAGTACGCTTTTGAGGGATTCTGGGCAGGAATTGATCGGCCATCGCACATGTCCCACCTATCCCATCCATGGGCGTCCCACATGGGTCCCGCATGTAGTAGCCGCCGATCCCCGTATGTGCAGGCATGTGCAGGCGTGGGACGGGGTAGAGATTGCCCACGAGACGCATGGGACGCCTGGCACGTTCGTTCCATGAACTCTCATAGAAGGTTTAAGACGCTTTTACACTGAACCGGACCCTAACCCTAAGGATGAGAAAACACCATTCCCCAAGCGTTCTGCCCATACGCCCTGCTCATGGCACGCCCCAGGGACGACCCACTTCACATGAGCCGTCCGCGTGGGACGTTCCACGAAATGTCTCACGGGCCGTCCTACGAGTCCCATGGGAAGGAATACCAATCTATCCTCAGGATCAGCTCTGTACGCCTGGTATTGTGTGGCCAAGCTGGTATCTGGTCACTTTCTTCCATCAATCTTTCCAGGCGGCGAAGGACATTGTGCGCAGGCTGCTCAAGATCAATAAGAGCAAGCGGCTTGGGAAGGCAGCTGGGGGTGCCGGAAGCGTGATGAAGCACAAGTGGTACAGCGGCTTTGACTGGGAGGGATTATTGAAGAAGCAGCTTGAGGTCCCTATCGCTCCCAAGGCGAGATTCCTGATCTTGCGCTGCCAATAGGGTCTCCCACAATTTCCACTGTTTTCCCAAACGACCCATGGGACTCCCATAGGTCACCCATGAGTCACCCATAGGCAGGCCATCCGCCCATGGGCACCCCTTTAGGCCCATGGGCAGCCCATGGTGACCCATGGGTGCCCCATGGGCAACGAAATGCCCATGGGTGACCCATGGGTGACGCACGGGTGGCTCATGGGCAGCCCATAGGCGGCCCATGGGCAACCCATGGGAAGCCCATGAGCGGCCAATGAGAGCCCTTCAACCGAACCAGTTTACTCCTAAACAATAGGTTATGTGCTTTGGAACAGGCACTATAACGACTAATAACCCGAACGCTAACCCTAACCCTAACCCCAAGCCCACACGATACGCGCTAGGTTGGCGCTGGTGGCTAAGTTCTAGGTTGATGTGAAGGTGGCTAAGTTCTAGGTTGGTATGCCAGTGGCTAAGTTCTAGGTTGAAGTGCCCACGGTGGGCACTTCATGGGCCGCCCATGGGCCGCCCATGGGCATGCCCATGGATCACTCATGGGCAGCCCATGAAGAGCCCATGAAGAGCCCATGAAGAGCCCATGGGCGGCTCATGGGTGACCCGTGGGTGATCCATGGGTGTCCTATGGGCGGTTTCGCAAAATTGTCAGTAGTGTGGAAAATTGTGCCAATACGGTCAAATTGTAGATTCCAAGTTTTTTAGTCACTTTTTCCAAGCCTCGACCCCCCATTTTGCGGTCCCCGGTCCACGAAGGGCAAGATATCGACAACAACGTTGTCACTTACTGTCGGCGTGATACCGTGATTTAGGTTGTTCTGGTGGTTCCCCTGTTGTTGTGGCAAGTCGTTGTGGCGTCTCACCCCCACGTTGAACCTCCTGCACACACGCCCTGTTCCTCCACCCACCGACTCGACGCCGATCTGTTACTGTGGGTGTTTTGGCTGCGCCGATTCGTTGTGTGCAGCTCGTGGATCCGTTCGACTCGTCACACTTCAACCCACCGGGACCGGATCGGGCGGAGTCGGTAAGCACCCCCTTGCATTACCATCATGATGTAGTCTATGCTGCCCTCCACCCCCTGGTCCTTGCCGTAGATTGGCCATGTCCACACCGCCCAATAGGCTACCGGCCGATATTCGCCGTGTACTGCAAATGCTTCACACGCCAGCACAAGCTGAGATTCAAAACAGGTATGTGGTCCCAATTCCAGCTGGGTGTCCACCCCACGCTCGCTTATCTGGGATACACTTGTGCTTCCGAAGTGGACCTCAATTCAAGCCAGTGGACTTCGGGACAAGGGAAACAATGAGCACGAAGTCGATTCCTGCCGGGCGACAACGTGTGATTCAAATCAAAGGGAATTAGAAACATGTTCAAGTACCGCGAACGTTCCACGTAATCACGTACATTCACACATGCAGATCTCGTCCGCTTGAAGGATTTCGAAAAGAGTCAAACCGACGCGGGTCGAAGCGGCACAAATGTCGAGGTTGCTACGGTTGAACGACTCGAATAGAGCTTTTCCTCTTTGTTGTCCGTTGCGTGATTCACTATCATTTGCTGTTTCTCAGAATCACACGTCTACCCCCTTGCTTGTGCCCTCGCTGCGTTTCGTCCGGGTCAGGCCCCGTGTCCCGAGTGGACGCCGACGCTTTAAAGGAGAGTCGCAACAGAGGGAAGGGTCGCTTCAAGCCCCCTATCGTCAGACTAACTGGGTCGGCAACGCTCCAAACACTCGAGCGGATGGTGAAGGCGGACGCGGGGAAACCGCGCCTAGCCAAGCCGGTAGCACAGAAAAACGAAAAATAGGCTAGTGTAGCAATAGAGGAGAATGGCAAGTTATCGCCCTAGAAGCACCACGAGTGGTAGTGCGTTCGATGGATAGGCAACCCTCGAGGCTTCACTTAGACCGACGTCCATGGGCTCAGAGTAGAGTAACGAACCCTTCCCTGTATGATACCGAGCGAAGAAAGTCATTTGCGAAGGGACATCATGGAACGGAATGGCCGAGAGGGTGGGTGGAGCACGTGTTTCCGGCGTTTAGATATGGAAGTACTGGTTTTTCGACATATAATGATTTCTGACATGCATGACATCATTGAAAAAAACGGCAAATAAATGATGCTGAAAGAAGCGAAAGAGCGCGTTGTGCGAACTAATAATGAGCAACGCTGAATGGGTTACAGACGTTTGAGCATTGAATCTAAATCCCTTCTGAAGGATAACAAGGGCAGGGCTACAAAACAAGTGAACACGTGGGACTGCTATATAGTTCGTGAACCGCAAGTGCAGTTGTTACCCGTTGTTTCGAATTTCGCACAAATGACGGGACTTCATCGCGTAAAAAAACGTATTGTACAGATTAAAACAAAAACGTATCGTCGTATGCGTGCGAGATTTCGTCCATGAAGCTGGGAAGCGAAGAGCCATCACCCACACTCGCAACTTGATACTTAGAAATTCCTCTACGGGACCGATACGGTCTCTAGAGTTCTCACAGAACGGTGACACAATATGAATGAATTAATTAATGAACGAATGAACCGCGCAAATTCTGAGCCGAAATCCCGAGACGCGAGAAATCACCCCATTGGCCCTGCTGCACTATTTTACAAGCCCTCCGAAAGTTTCAGCGTGATTGGTGCCTTCGGCGTTGGCGGTTGGCTGTGTCGGTAAACCGGCACTCACTCTCCGAACTCGATCGATTTGAGCCTAAACGTTGCCTATCTTCCACCAAATTGAAGCCCCGCCCAATCTTGAGCTGGATTGACAAGTCCTTCGACACTGGAATAGGTGTGTGCCTACCTATTTTGCCTGCCAACGAGAGGTTCGGGACACACCGCTGCAACCTCCCGACGAGGAAGTATGTTCTTCGCAAAACGACGGTTTCAAATCATTTTACGCGCGCGCGCAAAATATTGCGGAACATACTGTAGGCGACATCACCAATCCATTGTAGTTTATCCTGATCTCGACACGTCGTGTGCCACCCGATAGACTATTCGCCACGTTTCGAGGGAAGCATTATTTGTTCTTGTACATACGCGCGCGCATAGAGGGATGGAAGGAGCGATTTGTGCAGGCGTGCTTGTGTATCTCTCTTCCCGGGTAGTCTTGCATTCCGGATACAACGTGAGAAGACACCAAAACCGGAACCGTGACGTTACCATATATCCTATATCCACCTCGCCGCAGGACACGTGTTTATGCCAATTTGGCAAGAGGGTACGCATTAAAGCCATGCCCGTGCTTGTAACGGTTCCAAGCAGTAATAGTCTGTACTCTATGTCGACAGCATGAAGGAAGTTCGGCACGGTCCCGGGTAAATGCTCATCCGCGTTCATCCGCGATCCGGGGCGATCTTTCATTCCACCGTACACTACCACGGTATCAATCTCACGGCAAGCAAGCCCAAACTACGTGTGTGGTGTGTGGTGTGTGGCCACTTAGCCAGGGAGTGTGCTCTGACGACATGCCAGTGTGGTGGTGGTCTCAAACAACATGCCCTCAGCAACAACAGAAGAAATGGAGGGTGGACGGATCCACGGATGGATCCGACGGGTAAACGTTTCATTCTACAGCAGACCAGCGGACCGCAGCGAAACATGGCGGACATAGCATACCAAAGGCATGTACCGTACAACGGGATCGTTTGGCCATGCTGATGCTCGGGCACACCACTAAACCTGGCTGGGTGATTGCTGCACGCCGTTGTACGTTGTGAAATCGAACACACCATTCATTGACACGGCACGACCGCTGGCACGGCAGTCAACCTCAAATCGGTGGTCCCGCACAGCATGCTGGTCAGTTTCGTCGTGTTGGCGCAGAACAAATTGGTGAGTTTTGAGCGATAGGGTATAGAAACAAAGGTGAGCACCGTGGATAACAGCAGACGACCCTGGAATCATTTGGCTGGCACATAGTGTTTCAGTCTCACAGATTTATTTGTCTCTTCGGGGTGGTCTTCATTGATTGGGGGTTTGGCTGGAACAAAGTGTATCAGTCTGACAGCGTGTCTGTCTCTCATTCTTTCCCCAAACTCAACCAAAAAACACCCGGGGGGTATCCACCCCCCCCCCCCCCCCCCCCTTTTTAAACCAAAACCCCCAAAAATCCTCCCAACCCCAAAAAAAAGAAAACCCCGAAAAAAAAAACTAAAAAACCTTCTATTTTCCAACCCGGGGGGGGGACCCCGGGGGGAGTCCAAAAAAAAGGGGGGGGACTCTTGGGTTTTCCGGGGCCGCCGCCGCCGGGAGCCTGAATCCGAA